AAAAACATTCGTCGTCTACACTATTAAATAAGTCTTTTTCAATTTATCTCACTAAATTAGCATTAGCAAATTGGTCCCCAAATCGACTTGGAAACTTATTCTTAATATAACTTAAAGCTGAAAAATGCTCTTTTTACATTTGCAGTTGTAATTCGTAGAATCAAAACTAGTGGAATTGTCGTTGTCGCTAGACAATTTCATGGTTGTTGGGAAAAATCGAATAATCGAATAGGCATAAGGAGAAAAAAGATCCGATTAGGTCTTTATTACAATTAGAATTCGTTTATAGTATAATAAATTAATTTTATGTCAATTTATGAATAAGTAATGAGTTGTGCTGTAGTGACAAAAATACTCTAATACTACCTATGAGCGTTGTTTTGCATCACCAATATACATATATATGACATATTTTTGTTTCTCCCAAATTTACCTTTGTCCCGGGATAAGACCCAATGGGCCTCCCTCCGCCTATAGTTACAACTAAGATAAACAAAAAAGTGTACAATATTTGTTCATGGAATGAGTTACCCCTAGCTAGGAATGAAACTGTACAATGTTTATATGAGTAAATTTAAGGAATTAAACCTAATGCATCTTCACAAGCTGGTGGAGGAAACATGGGTTGCGCATGTGGGGTGGTAGAACCGCGATTTGAAAAGAATCAATTCATAAATAACTCGATATGTTGTGAGAACAAGGTGATTGTTGAAGAATTGTGCGTCAGTTAATCTCATATTCGCCCTTATTTGGGTGTATGGTTAGTGTGTTGTTTGAGTGACACGTAACTCATTTTCATATAGACAAAGAGTTGTTTCTTTTTTATACTATCAAAGGGTTATTGTATTTCTTAATCGCACCACAATATGGCCATAAACTCCTAAATGCAAAAGAAAAAGAATATAATTGAACTATTAATATCATTTATTATGTTGTATAATGTTTATTGGATATTGAGATGCCAACTACAAATAATTAATCCTATCAAAGTTGTAAAAAGTATTAATTTTCTTTACAATTGGTTGATGAAGTAATGAAAAACTTTGCACAGCGTACATACTAGTTGGATTCACGGGAGACAAAGCAAAAGATACTTAAATTGTTACAATCTTACTATTGTAAGAAGTTTATTATAAATATTAGTCAACTTGTCTAATTACTAGTCGGAGACTAATTTGTGCATATTAATCAACAACCAACTAGGGGTGGGCAATGGGCGGGTTGGGTGGATTTTGGTCTCAAATTGACCCACCCGCTTACTAGCGAGTTGGAATAATTGTGACCCGCAATCCACCTACATACCTCTGCGGGTTGGGTTGGGTGGGTGGTGGATGGGTGCGGTTGGGTCGTGGGTCAACCCACAAAAGCATTTCTCCAACTAACCATTAAGAAAGTTGACTAACATTTATAATAAGTTCATAGCAAATTAGTAAGACTGTATCAATAATCTATGATTTTGATACAATTAATAATTTATAGTTTGCATCTCAATATTTAATTGATATTAACAATAATATGCATACCAATATCCAATATCTAATAGATACTGCACAACACAAAACCAATAATAGTAGTCAAACCTATCCTTTATTCTGCACCTTTTGAAGTATATGGTCAGACTGTAGTGCAATTCGAAAATATGATGAATATATTATATTATAAGAAACACCATTTTTCATGTAAAAATAGAATGTGGGTCATACGGGTGACCCGCAATCCACCCACATAAGAGCGGGTGGAAGATTTATCAATCCGCAATCTACCCACATCAATCATTCATTATGTTGGGGTCGGGTTGTTTGCGGATGGATCGATATCAATCCGCGGATTAACCACCCACATGTCCACCCGTAAACCCAACCACACTCATCTGATGCCCACCCAACCCAACTCAAAGAAGAATGAGAGTGAATATCGCGGATTGTAATTATACCGACTGGTTAATAAACAGGATTGAAACTTACTGACCCCGTAGAGGTAACTATATGGATGTTAGTTTGTAAACTAAATTTATATATTTTCACAGAATCACAAGAAATCCTTAATTTCCTATTAGAAAAGCATACTAAATTTGTGGCATGTTTTGTCTTTCTATATGTTTGTAATATGATGGAAACAAGTTGACAAGATAAGCATACTAATGGGGACGGAATTACCAACAAAATCCACAAAAACAATCATATCTATATAGTGATTGAAACCAGAAATAGACAAATAAATAATGAATGGAGGCTGCTTACTTGTTACAATGAGAAGAGTTAAACTCTTGTCCAGTTTGGCAGATTCCCTTCCATGATTTCGGGACGGCTTCCATCCCCTCGTCGCTAAAACTCTCCGCCTCTGGCCACACTCCTGAAAATGGAGATTCCTCCCCAAATAATCGTTACGTATTAATCGCCTGTACAAAATTCGTTTCTATGTAAAGAACTACATTAATCACTCACCGCTGTCAAGGATTCCAACAATCAGCGACTTCCCATATCCAGCCCTGTGAAGCAAATCCCCTGCCTCCGCCATTGTTTCCTTCTTCATCGATTCCGCAACATCGTAACCCGCCGCCAAATTCAACCCTGAGAATTCCCATGACCTCGTAGTGTGCGTCGAATACTTCCTCGGCCGGCTCTCGATTACCGCCACCACTTCTTCCAATTCTGCAGCCGCAGCCACAAACGCAGAAATGAAAAAACAGAGCACACAAAAACAGATTGCTCTGGCCTTTGATAAAAAAAAAAAAAAGACCCACAATTGAACTGAAATAGAACTGTTGGGGGTGTTACTAAATACTCCACGCGCGGACTAAATAAGGGCGCGCTCAATCGGTAACGTGCTCCGGACGAACGCCACTACGAAGTATTTAAAGGCATGAAACTCCTCATTGAGGGAGACTTCTCCTCTCTCCTCACTTTTCCACTTTCTACTATCTCTCTACACTTTATCTCTCTATCTATTCTCTCAACTCTCTCCACAAACTTACACTAACTTGATCGTCGGAGCTTAATCCGGGGGGCAACCCCGGCACTTTTCACAGGTTTCTTCCCTCCCGACGAGATCAGACGAACGGATCATGAGTCAACCCCACACCAACAATCATTATTGTTCATACCTCGAGCTAGTAGGTTCAAACAAGAACCAAGGTGAGATTTTGGGTTTCTGGGTTTTCAGATTGGAACCGTACCGTTGAGTTTGGAGGCTTGTTGCGGGGTGAGGGAGGCCGCGAAGCCATTGATGCTGTGCTTGTAGCTGTAAATGAGAGAAGCTCTGGCTTCTTCCTCCGAATCTTTCACGGATGTTAGGCATGAGTGATGGGTTTCAAGAATCTGGTCCGGTGTGTATTGTTGGGTGTGAGATCCAAGGTAGACTATGTAGGTTCTTTGGCGTTCATCGCATAAGGCTAAGGGAGGGGAGAGTAGAAGAAGGGAAAGGAAAAGGGGAATGATAGTGGGAATGTTCATAATTTTGCCTATGGTGGGAGGCTGATGATGGTTTGATGAGATTTTTTTTGGTAGGCTGTCGGAATCTTGAGTGTTTTGAGTATTTATAAGAGGGGAATGAAAGTGGATTCTGTTTGGTTTCCTTTTTTACTCAAAATGAGTTACGTCAGATATGCAATTTGGAAGGTTGGTGGTGTAAAATAACAAGTGTCTTTTATAATTTCTCCATCGTTTGACAAAGAATTGTTAATAGATAGTCTGAATGTGAAGCACTAGTTATAACTTGAGTTGTTGAAACATGTTCAATTATGAGTCATATATCGTGTTTATTATCGCATCCCCACAAACGAAAACCACCATATATGAGGTTAAAGTTTGCCTAGGTCCAAATATTATGTGCTTAACAGAACAGATGAAGGTCATCGAGATTCGAACAGAATATCTCCCGGTCACAAAAAGTTCTGATACCATATCAAGAACCAGTTGATCCCAATAACTCGAATTGTTGAGAGATGTTCAATTATGGATCATATACCGTTTACAATAGATAGACGGTGAATAATTTATTTATTATATTCGTTAAGTTGTCATGGATGAATTTTGCTGACTATATATACAATTTTATTTTTATTGTAACGACACATATCTAATTTGTACTTGACCATATATATGTTCAATATTGGTAACACATCTTTTTCTTTCTGCATTATCCATTAAAGGTAGGTGTTGAATCTATCGTGGTTTAACTTGTATTAGTATCAACTATCAAGACATGTAAAAAGAAACAATTCTAGTGTAGTAAGTACTACAAAAAAAATACTAGTAATGAATTATTCCTCAATTATTTTCTTAAGAAACTATAGAAATTAAAGATTCGTTAACCATTGGGGGGAAACGCCTTCCTTTTGTGGGAGCCAGTTATGGAAGGAGAGGTGATAATCCATCAATTAAAACTAATCCTATTTACAATAGTGGCTTTTTGTTTAAAGCGGGTCCACTTAAAAGAAAAATACAATTGATAAAATAGTTTTTTTTATTTTCCTAATAATTCATTATATAATTTAAAATTGAAATTTTTTGGTAGAGTAAAATACCTTAATAGTCGAAACTATTATATTTATCACCTGTGTACCAAACAATTATTAATGATTTATTTAGTTGTTCTCTTCGAATGTCGTTCTTTGTCAATAACCATTTAGTATCAACAACTCGAGTAGTTGTTGAGGTAAGTTTAATAATGAATCTTACACAATATAATAATTCTTGATTTTGCTAGTCGTTCATTTTTAAATGATTTTCTTTGTTAAGAATCGTTTAATATCAATAACTCGAGTTGTTGGAGTTGCACAAATCAAAATAGCATGTGCTTAATAAATGAGGCCTCAAAGATTCAAACACAATACCTTTCGATAAACTATTAGAAAATAAGACTCCTTCTAATTTTTTGTATCGATTAACTATTGTACCTAATTTAACAATTTTTCATCCAAACCAGGACCTACGCTCTTATACTCTCCCTCTGCCACTGACTTACAAAGCCTAATTCTAATTATGACTTCATTGAATCAGATGAAGACGTGCTCTAAGCCAAGCAGCGGCAGAGGTGCGATCCACTTTTCCTTTGGCGACAATCCACCCAGCAACGTTCTTCAGAATTCTCCTAGCAGTCTGATCCAGGCTTTTCATGATATCGCTAAAAATCCTGTTGTTACACTCCAGCCATATGTACCAACAGACTGCATGAAAAAAACAATAACAGAACCATCCATCTACGCAATCAGGGACATCCAGAGGCCACTCCTTGATTGTGAAGGCGAGACCATCACTAATAGGGAGGTTGTTGAGGTTGCAGCTCCTCTTAATCAGATTCCACACATGATGTGTGAAGCTACAGCTAATGAGAAGATAATGAATCGACTCTTCGTCTTTGTAGCAAAGCGTACATCGATTAGCAAGACTCAAACCACGATTTTGCATCATATCCATTGTCAAAATCTTGCAGTGCGCCACGGTCCAGATGAAGAAGCAAATCTTTGCGGGTACAATCTTTCTCCACACCGAAGTCGTCGGGAAATTGGGAATGCCAAGGTCTTTGATCTCCATTAGTGTTCTGTACATAGAGTTAACTGAGTAACTAGCTTTCGGATCCGGAAGCCATACCAATCTGCAAGGACTATAAGCACTAGCAGCAAAGTCAATAGAACCAAGTAGAGAAAGCAAGTTAATCCTTTCTTGTTCTGTCCCCCTTCGAAGTTCAAAATTGATGTTTAAACTGAAAGAGACTGAATCACCTAAAAGTTTCACGATATCGTTGATCCTAGCATCCAGGTGAGATGCCACAGCAGCTACCCGAGGAAAGGTATCAGCAAGGCAGAGATTTGGAAGCCATCAATCGAACCAAAAGGAAACATGGGCTCCACTCCCGGGGTCTATGTACATGTGCATGATTCCAGAAAATCTCAGATTCTTTCACTATGTTTGCCCAAATCGAACTTGAGCGCCTACCATGTACATAGCTCGAACGCCATTGTGATCTTTCATTTGGGTACTTTATGTTAATAAGACCTCTTCACCATCAATTCCTGTTAATTTCCAGATCCATTTGCACAACATTGCACTATTGAAAGAGGATAGGTCCCTAATACCCAGGCCCCCTTTATCCTTATGAGACTTGCAAACCTTCCAATCAACCAAAGGAATATTCCTCTTATCCCCATCGCCACTCCATAGGAAGTTTCATTACAATCTTTCCAAATCATTAATCACCTTCTTAGGGGCTTTAAACATTAAACAGAGTAAAATAATAGCCTGAGAGGTTCGACAAGAGTGATTTGATGAGAACTAACCTCCCCCCAGTAGAAAGAAATTTGTTGCTCCACCTTTCAAACTTCTTTTTGTACTTGTCCACGATTGGTTTCCAGAAAGAATTGCCATTGAGTTTGTCCCCCAATGGGTAGCCGAGGTATTTAGGGGAATTGGAGCTCCATTTGCAGCCAAAGATGTCAGCTAGGAATTCTGGTTCAAGAATATCCCCAATTGTATGCATAACTGTCTTGTCAATATTGATTCTTAGACCTGTCACAGCTTGGAAGCAAGCAATTGCTTCCCAAATATTTGTTCGTAAGACGCATCACAAAATATGAGAGTGTCGTCCACAAACAACAGATGTGTCACTTCCCCTTGCTGTCTATCCTCATCCATAAAGAAGCCTTTAATGTTGCCCTCTTCCTTAAGCTTAGACAGCATGAACGAAAGTATGTCCATGACTAGAACGAACAGACCGGGAGACAGCAGATCCCCTTGTCTAAGCCCTTTAAAAGCTGGAAAGAATCCTTTCGATTCGTCGTTGATCAAGACTGAGAGGGTTGGAGAGCACACAACGCTATGGATCCATTTCTTCCACTTCTCCTGAAAACCCAATCTCGAAAGAACCTTAAATAGACAGCCCCAGTTCACATTATCAAATGCTTTTTCGATGTCAAGTTTCAGCATGAAACCCGGTTTCCTACTTCTCCTTCTGCTATCCACTAACTCATTTGCAATGAGTCCGGTCTCTGAAATTTGTCTACCCTGTACTGAAGCTTGCTGATATTCTGAGACCAGGGAAGGGAGAACATGACTGAGCCTTTGCGATAGCACCTTACAAATCAGTTTATTAATGCTTCCCATCAACCCAATTGGTCGAAAATCTTAAACATCTTCCGTAGCATATTTCTTAGGGACCAAGCAGATGAATGAGTGTGTAGAGCATATAGGAAGAATACATTTCTCGTGAAACTCTTGGAAAGCACTTAAGATATCTGCTCTCACAACTCGCCAACATTTCTTACAAAAATTCAAATGAGAACCCGTCGGGGCCTGGGGCTTTGGAGCCATCACTATCCCAATACACTCCCAAATCTCCTTTTCAGAGAAAGGAGCCTCAAGAAGGGCAGCATCGGTGGAGCATAAATGGTTTGGGGTGTATGAGTTTGGGAAGGTTCGATTCTGGATGTCTTCCAGGAAGAGGTTAGAGTAAAACTCCACAACCCCTTGAGCTATATCATCAAAGCCTTCTACCATTGTACCATTGATTTTGATCCGCCATATAAAATTCACTTTCCTCCGAAAGTTAGCCATCCTGCGAAAGAAACCAGAATTTTGATCACCCTGTTTGAGCCAGACCTCCCTGACTTTTGCCTGCAACATATTTCTTGCAAGTACAAAGCCTTTTCCAATTCCAACTTCTTCTCAACAAGAGCAGACACTTCATCATCAGATAACGGGCGGGTTTCCTTAGCTAATCTTAAATCCTTGATATCAATGAGAAGATTATCCACTCTAGTGTGAATATTGTTGAAAACCTCTTTATTCCAGATTTTGATATTCTGCTTCAATTCCTTAAGTCTTTTAGAAAATCTAAACACAGCTCCATTACCTTGTAAAGGAATGGATTACCAAGAGTTTAAACCAGTATAAAACCTATCATCCTCCAGCCACATGTTTTCAAATCTCCATGGTTGATTGATTTTCCTCCCGACACCCCATTGAAAGAGAAGAGGGGAGTGATCAGATTCCACCTTTTCCAAGCCTGCCAATCTACAATCCATGTAAAGCGAGTCGAATTCTGGAGAAATCAACACCCGGTCAATACGAGATTGAGAATTGTTGTTCTCCCATAAGCTCCAAGTAAAACGACACCCACTAATAGGGATGTCCATGAGATCATTGTCTTCAATGAAGTTGTTGAATAGTTCATCAAATCAGAGCTTCTTCTCCCTCCCTGATAATCATCGTGAGATCTCACCATGTTAAAGTCTCCAGCGATGCAAACAGGAGAATGTTGGTTTTGGCAGAAGTTGTGAAGCTCATTCAGGTAAATCAGCTTATCTCTTCTGGCTTGAGGGCCATACACCGTGACGAAACTCCAGGTTTTCAAAGTAAGAATTTCTAAAAATTCAACCTCGAGATAATAATTCCCCACACTACTACACAATTTTTGGAACTGACTTTTATCCCATCAGATAACAATCCCCCCAGAGCTGCTAGAGGAGTCTTTAGCAATCCAATCCATGTCTCTTATGCTACAAATGCTTCCAACAAGTGAGTCATTACAGGAGGTCCATTTGGTTTCTATAAGAGCGATGATGTGAGGTATGCGCCTGCCGATTCAGTGTTTGATGCGGCTTCTCTTGCCAGAGTCACAGATGCCTCTAACATTCCAGATAAAAATAGAGGTATTAATTAAACTAGAGGGAGTGAAGAACCCGCACCCGTAGTCTTCTTACTATCCAACCCGATTCTGCCCAATTGTACGCATGCATACATATTTTGTCTAGAAATTATAATTGTTTTTCTGAACATATTTGATATATTTAGCATACAAATATAATATTTTCATGAAATTGTGTTGTTCTTAATTAATTTTCTTTATTCTAGTAATTATCTATCGTACTTTTTCACTTTTGAAAAGTGAGTATACGTGTGAATTGACATGTTTGTTGAAATTATAATGATAAATTATTATTCATACATAATCGTGGATACCCGAAACTCAAACGAGTATGAGCATAGTTTTTATTTTCTACGTGATTCTTATGCAAATATGAGTAAAATCCAAACTATTTTAGATAGAATAATGAGAATGCACTATTCATCCCGACCCGATGAGTTGCCATCTCTAATTTGTGCCTTTAGATGGCTAGTAGCTAGTAGGGCTGAAAATTGGCCCGACCCGCCCCTGACCCTGTCCTGACCCTGTCTGACCCGCCCCTGAAGGGTCAAGATGTATAACTGACCCGCCTCGACCCTGTTTCTTTCATGACCCTGTCTGACCCTTTAGGGTCGGGGCGGGTCAGGAAGGGTCAGGTCAGTGGGTCGACCCTAATAAATAGACTACTTTTCTAAAAATTACAATTTGGTACCCAAATTTATTTTTCTTACATTTTAGTACCTAAATTTTATTTTTTTACAAATAAGTCCCTAAAATTTGATGGTAAAATTACGTTTTGGTACCCAAATTTTTTAATTTTTACAATTTAGTAACTAAATTTTTAAAATTTTACAAATAGGTCCAACATGTTTGTATGATGCTAAGGGTCATAGGGTCAAAAAGTGACCCGACCCTAAATTGACCCGACCCTATCTGACCCTGACCCGACCCTAAGCTGACCCGACCCTAAATTGACCCTATAGACAAACCGACCCAGCCCGACCCTGAGGGTCGGGACGGGTCGGGGCGGGTCAGTGGGTTTTAAGGGCCAAACTTACACCCCTAGTAGCTAGCAACCAAGATTTGATTCTTCTTCATATCCCTTCCTTCCTTTCTTTCTTTACCCTCTAGGAAAAAAATGATGGGATTGATACTCGACAAATGCTAATAATGCTGCAATAATGCCAGTCTTAAGAGTAATGTGGTCAATGTTTCCGAAAGAAGAACAAATAATAGAGGCGGATAACCGCCGGAGGAAATATGAACAGATTGCTGCTTAACTCCCGCGCGTCGACCAAGGGAGCCAATGTATAGGCCGGGAACCTTCTCCATTACTCCACCAGAATTTAGCCATCAAAGACTCAATCTGATGCACCACTGAAACTGGAAGTCGGAAACAGCTCATCATATATAAGGGGAGGGCCTGTAGCACAGTTTTAATTAAGACCTCCTTGCCGGCTTTGGATAATAACTTTTCCTTCCATCCCTGCTATTATAACGAGTAACACCGCCGCTACCACGCCTTCCCCTCCCTCTTCAGCCGGCGACAAAAGCCAACGGATGTTTCTCCTTCGACGCATTGTATTTGTGGCCTTGCTTTGTCATTCTACTCGTCTATAATCTTTACACTTTTTTTATACGCCTTGTGAGTTTTCTATATGTGATTTTCATTTTAATGGTGTGGTTTATGAGAGTTTTGGTATGATTTCATATGTTTATGATTTGCTTCATGATAATTTGTGGTAAATTGTATGCGGTTTATTATATATTTTAGGGTTAATACCTTATTTTGGCTCGAACTATAATCAATAATCAACTTTGGTCTGTGGTTTCAAAAATTAACATCCTGGCCTCAACCATGCAACATATAGACTCAATTGGCCTTACACATGGTTTGACTGTCAATTCGGATGGTCAACACCGTTGACCATTAGTCAACACGCAATGTCATTGCCTCGCCAGCCTAAAAATTATTAAGAAAATAAAATTCAAATTATTTTTCTAATTTATATTATTTATCATTTTCAAATTACCAAAAAATAAAATTTAGAAAATATAAAATAAAATTTTATTTTATTTTTTGGTATATTTGAAAAATGATAAAATTTATAAATTAACCAAAAATTATCAAATTAAATTTGATAAATTCAAAAAATATGAAAAAATTATATATTTCATTTTTTGATAATTTTAAATATATAAAATAATTTGATAATTTTTGGTTAATTTATAAATTAATCATTTTCAAATTACACAAAAAATAAAAAATAAAAAATTATTATATATTTTTTATAAATTATTTTTGTTAATCTGATTATAAATAATAAAAAATAAAAATAGTTTGAATTTGAATTTTTTAATGATTTTTAGGCTGACGAGGCAATGACATGGCGTGTTGACTAACGGTCAATGGCGTTGACCATCCAAATTGACGGTCAAACTAGGTGTAGGGCCAATTGTGTCTATATGTTACATAGTTGATGCCAGGATTTTAATTTCTGAAATCACGGGCCAAAATTAATTATATGGTCATAGTTCAGGCCAAAATAAGGTATTAATCCTATATTTTATGAATTTAGTGGTGCGGTGTGCTTTGTACTATTTGTAGTGTGCTTTTTATGTTTGCTTTATGAGGCTTTTAGACTACTTTGATGAGTTTTGTGGTGTGGTTTGTAGTGGTTCTGGTTTAGTATAAGTTTTTTTTTTCATTCATGAGAGTTGTGATAAGCTTTATGAGTTTTTTGGTCTTCTTCTAAAAACTTATAGTTTGAGTTTTGTGTGGTGAAATTTTGATCTGCATTATGAGATTTTTGGTCAGGTTTATGTTGTTTTTGTTCGGATTTTTCGTACTTCTTATATACTTTATGATATTTGTGGTTTTTGCCGGCTAGGGACGGGATGAAAAAGAAATAGTAGTGTCGTACGCATTAGGGGTGGCTATACGGTCCGGTCCGGTTAAATTGGCCCAAATTGATCCGGTCCAGTCCGGTCTTTTTGAAAATATAAGGACCGAAGATTGGATTGGATACAGTTTGGTCTTGATACGGTCCGGTTTTGATCCGGTCCGGTCTCAATTCGGTCTTGATTTTACATTGAGATTGTGGGATTTGAGTGGCCTAAGGCCTTAAAGGGTGAGGAGTTGGTTAAGTTTTGTACTAAGTGCAAAGGTTTGTGACCGTTTATGCAAATTACCCTTAAGTTTTGGGTGTTGAGCGGTCTTTATCCGGTTTTTTACCTCAAATCTAAGCCCAAAGATTGGATTGGATTGTTTACTATCCGGTCCCGGTCCGGTCTCGGTCCGAGTTATACGGTTCGATTTCCAGTTTTTAATCCGGTCCCGATCCAAATAGCCACCCCTAGTACGCATGTGTCCTTCATCCATTGTATTTATACAAAGGAAGTCAACTATGAGAGGAGAGAGAACGTGAGAAAGTCAGTTGTTCCGTTACAATGGTTACCTAACTAATTACAATCAAGTACCTATATTTAGTACATATTTACTAACTAAACCTATATAATTACATATTCATCCTATATCTATGCATAGTCTTTATTTTTCTCCTATCTCTATTCTAATACCTTTTTTTATATAATAGAACTGGTTAAAAGATAAACACAATAACTAGAGCAGCAGGAGTTCAAGTATGGTGGTTAGTGGTTACTATCGATAGTAAATGGATTCCTTTTTAGTGGAATTTTGCGTGATCAATGCCCCCTGACTTTAAGAAACAGAAAAACAATGTTACTCGGTTCACACCTCTTCAAACACCGTTCGGACGAGGGTGTTCGATGCATACATCAATGGATCTAGCTACTTTTACCTCTACTTCTATGGAGATTCCTTAAGAGCTCCGCAATTAGTGACTACAACTAACAGAGAAGCCTCGTTGGAGGGTCCCTGGTCCTACTGCTATGGTTACTGTTCTAGAGAGAAAAGATAAATTTTGACGAGACTGTTTGTGATTTGATTTGTTTGTCCTCCTCCAGAACCTTGCTGCAAGTTTTGTTGTGTCTCGCCCCTAACCGCCATCTCTCTCTCTTCCTTGAAATTAGCTCCACGTAGCATCCAGTAACTCCTCCGAGCGTCCTTTGCAAGTCAGTTGTTGCTTATGGTAACCACTTTCGACACGTCATCATGTCCCTGGACAATAAACCCTACGTACCATGGATGAACAATTAGATGGTCACCATACACCAAATAACATGGATGGTATCCATGTTATAGCATGACACCATCCACTTTAAGTTTGGATGGTGTCCATTATATTTGGGATGGTGTCCCTGATCTTGGATAGTATCATCCACCTTAGGGTTTGGACGGTGCCCATGATGTTGGACACTACCATCTATAATGGGATTTAGATGGTATCCATGTTATTGGACACTACCATCCATTATTGGATTTGGATGGTATCCATGATATTGGACACTACCATCCATTATTTCTACGGCTCGACTTGATAAATTAGACCATCCATGTACACATGGACTATCTACTTAAATTGGTCAAACTGTTCATACAAGCAATAATTAATGAAAATTATTCTGGTATAAACAATGATAAATTTTTTTTCGTTGAATAAACAATGATAATTTTCCACTATGTTGCTCAATTTTTCTTTCGACACACAATTGTCATATTTTTGCTAACGGTGCCATTTGATTAGCTTCACGAAAAGAGCGTTCAAGTGAACAATTCCAATTTCCTTTGATAAGTCGTTGACAATCCTTCAATAATGTGCCGAGAGAGTGGAATTCAAAAGCCCATGAGCCATGATGGAGTAGAAGGCCTAAAGGTTCAAACCAAAGCCCAAATTCTGAAAACTACAAATAGCTCCAGGGCCCATTATAACTCGTCTTTTTGCGAGAAGCGGCCCACACCATAAATCCGAAATTCCTAATCCGCTCTATCACCACGAGATTCTTCTAGAACAGAAAAGGAAACCATCCGAACGGCCCAGATGGACGCACCACCACGACCGCCGTCTCCCCTCGTCCTCCTCTCCTTCCTTCTCCTCCTCTCTCCGGCCAACGCAACGGCGGCGGCCTTCTCCTTCCCATCATCATCATCCTACTCTCCCTACAAAACCGCATCCTCCCTTTCCCACTCCCTCCTCACCCGCGTCTCCAACCTCCGCGCCGCCCGCGGCGACGTCGCCGGCGCGCACCGCGCCAATCTAATCGCCGAGAAGCTGGACCGCGGGCTCGATTTGGGGATCTGGGGATTCGCCTGGTCAATCGGTTGGGACTACTCCAGGAACTACGCGTGGCGGAATTTGAAGTACAGGGAGCTGCTCGGCGCCGTTTCGGATCTGAACAGCCTGATTTCGGTCCTGACGGGGCTGACCTCGGCCAGATCCAACGCCGAGAGAGCGGCTTGGGCGGCGCAAAATTACGGCAATCTGGCGAAGACGGCGAGATCGACGTTGCGTAGGATGTTGTAAAAAAAAAAAAACGTTTCTTCCCCCAATTATTCGTTTGATTGATGAATTTGGTTTTGCCGAACCGTATGCCCACCCCTACAGGGAGCGGTGAAGGAAGCGCTGGAGGCAGTGCAGAAGGAGGTGGTGGAAGGTGGGCTGCTGAGGGACTGCATTGAAGTTGGAAGCAGCGATTGGCGAGGGTTGATGGAAATTCTCAAGGATTGGACTTCACGGCTGAATTTTTCTCCGGGTTATGCCGGCGACGGGGAACTTTGATCCGAACATCACCGGCGTAACCTTTATCGCAGAATTTGTAAATAAATTTTATTATATCAACTTACGATTCCGGTGGTTGTGAGCCTTGCGAAGCGAGTATGATCTCACTATGAGCACTATAGCTGAATGAAGATGGATTGATATGCAATCTTTCGACGAAATTTTCTGGTGACTTGATCTTGTCGAAAAAGACTTTTGGTCAACATTTTATGTCGTCTATTACAGCTAGACCCATGTTACGCCCAGAATGATTTCAAAAAGGACTGAGGAGCCTCAAAACAGGCTGACAAACATAAATTCATCGCCAACTAGAACCAGTAAATGGCTTGGGCCAGATAGAATTCAGTGAAGCAGCGTTTTCACTTTCATGTTGGACGTCTGATCCATTTGCCCTATATTTATGTCCTGCCAGCTTAACCATTTTTCGCATAGCCTAGACATTACTTCTCCCAAGTTGTTGTTGTGGGTATCATCTAGGTAGTAGAGAGGGTAAGAAACTAAGAATTCATATCATCATATGGTTAAGCTTTCTAATAGTGCAAAAATATTTCACTCGAATAGCAACTAGCGGCAGGCATTAAGTTTTGTTTCTAATTACTTGGATTTACTGTACCGTAAATATATATTTATATTATCTTGGGTAAATACAATATATTAGCCACAACTATTATGAAGCGGGGAATTATAGCCACAACTATGTAAATTCAAATTATTAACCATAACTATTGTTGCGGGTCAAGATATGGCTAACTGTCCATTACTATTACTGAATTTTTAATGGAGAAGGCAACATCATCAGCCACGTCGGACTGTTTTTAATTTATAACATTAAAACATAAAAGTTTAGTCAGCATTACTAACGGAATTGTTAACAGAGATTTAACATTTGGCTAATAATTTGAATTTCCATAGTTGTGGCTATAATTTCCCGCTTCCTAATAGTTGTGGCTAATATATTGTATTTACCCTATTATCTTTAGAAGTTAGCTTTATTATAGGTGGTACCGGATAAATTAGTAGTATGATATTTTGTGGTTTAACCCGTAGTTTAATCGTTTCATAAGGGTAACGTGCTATACCGGTTTAGACTCCGATAGTTTGGTTTTCCCCGTCAAATCATCGATACAATTTCTCAAACACTATAAACCGATATGATCGATTTGCTTGTTAAACTGTGTGAGCAAAAGCGTATCTGATTTTTAGTTTCACCATTTAAAAAGAGAATACATAATTTATTGCACCTAGTATAACACATTCCTATGAGTTTCAATAGGAAACAAATGGGTTACAAGATTTAAAGTAGAAAAGTGTCGAGATGATTAGCAAAGTAATTAACGTAGTCAGTGTTTTTTTTTTCACAATTAGGTATATGACATGATTCTAGAATCTAGACTCAGCCTTAGCAAATGATCTAAAATCAGTGGACTACCTTTTGGATAGCTAATGAATCTAAGAATTGGCCACGAAAACACACACAAGAATCCCAAATTTGAACTAAAAAAATATATATATATTTTACCGTCGACTGCCGACAGTTAAAGTTGACCACTTCCAACTTCCCAACTGACCAATTCCTGGATTTGGGTAAAATCCTGCATTGTCAACTCTCCATGCAGATTCACCTCCTTTTTCCCCTCACAATCATACACTAATATCCCGCGTGACATTAATGAACACAACCAAACCCTCTCAACTGTGACTCTGCCCCCAATTAAAGCAAATCGCCACACTACTTGTTCCCTCCCTCCATTCTTCCTCTTCATTCCGCCATTATCACTCCCCCTATAAACTCCTCCACCTCTTCACATCCAAACCTACATTGCAATCTCTCCCTCACCATTCCTTCCCATCTCCAGCCATGGCCGCCGCCTTAGCCTTGGTAGCACTATTAGTCCTCCTCCAGCAACAACATTGTGCCATTGCACAGCAAGTCCCCGGCTACTTCATCTTCGGCGACTCCCTCGTCGACAATGGCAACAACAACCAGCTCCAGTCCCTCGCCAGAGCCGACTACATGCCCTACGGTATCGACTTCCCCGGCGGCCCCTCTGGCCGCTTCTCCAACGGCTTAACCACCGTCGATGTCATCGGTACGTTACATCGTGTTGCTTTCCTTTTTTCCCCTCCTGGCATACCACAATGTAACAAAATGTGAAATCAAACAATGCAAAAAAAAAAAAAAAAAAGTTACGTGATTCAATAACCCGATGTATGTTAGCCACGTCCACGGATTGATTTGTGCCCCCAAACACCTAAACCTAACGCTTCGTTCCTGAACTCCGATTGCTGATCCTACAAGGCTACAACAAAACTCAGTGACTATCAATCTGACAGCAGATAATTTGTTTTCAATTTATAGCAACGGTTACAAGAAACCTCAATCTTGACGGACTGATTTGTGTGTTCCTTTTCTTCTTTCTTGTAGCCGAGCAATTGGGATTCGACGACTACATTCCGCCGTACGTGACGGCGAGCGGGCAGGACGTTCTCGGAGGAGTGAACTACGCCTCGGCGGCGGCGGGGATTCGGGAAGAAACCGGGCGGCAGCTGGGAGGAAGGATTAGCTTCAGCGGGCAAGTGAGGAACTACCAGAACACGGTGCGGCAGATCGTGGACATCCTCGGCAGCGAGGACGCGGCGGCGGACCATTTGGGCAAGTGCATCTACTCCATCGGACTGGGCAGCAACGACTACCTCAACAACTACTTCATGCCGCAGTTCTACAACACCGGCAGCCAGTTCACGCCGGAGCAGTACGCCAGCGACCTCATCCGCCGATACACTCAGCAGCTACAGGTCGGTCAAACTACTTCCACCCCTTCGATCGATCTTGCGCGCCTGATATGAAATTTCTGTTGTCTGTTGTTGATTGAATTGTATTCGGATATGGGTTTTGGGTCTCAGATCATGTATAACTATGGGGCGAGGAAGTTCGTGCTGATCGGAGTGGGTCAGATCGGGTGCAGCCCGAGCGAGCTGGCGCAGGGGAGTCCTGACGGGAGAACATGCGTGCAGAGGATCAACGCCGCGAATACGATCTTCAACAACAAGCTTCGATCCCTCGTCGCGCAGTTCAATCGGAACACACCAGATGCGAAATTCATCTACATCAATGCGTACGGGATTTTCCAGGACTTGATTAACAGCCCTGCTCGTTTCGGTGAGAAATCAGAGCTCCCCTGTTTTTTACCCTGTTTCTTTTTCTGTTATGTCGCCCCTGAAGATGAAAAACAGAGTAAATTCTCGCTTTTGGGGATTTTTTTTATGACTCAGGGTTTAGAGTGACGAACGCCGGGTGCTGTGGAGTTGGGAGGAACAACGGTCAGATTACTTGCTTGCCGTTCCAGACGCCGTGCCGGAACAGGAACGAGTACTTGTTCTGGGATGCTTTCCACCCGACGGAGGCGGCGAATGTAGTCGTCGGACGGAGGTCTTACAGGGCGGCGTCGCCTTCCGATGCTTACCCTTACGACATTCGCCGCCTCGCCCTCGCGTAGCTCTAAACTTCCGCCATCGGAGACCTTTGAGAGACCAGCTGAGGCACATCGGTGCGATTTGCAACTTGCAGCAGTCCTTCCTTCATTTGTATACTTGTTCTTGCCAAGCATATGAAAATACTCTGTTTTTTGGTGTTTCTTCTCCCAAGTGTTCCAACAGATTTGTGTATTGTCTCTGTTTTTTGCCAACTATTTTTGTGATGCTGTAATGATTGTGTAGTGATGAAATGGAAGGTTCAGAATCTTGCCTCTTTTATTAGAACTCATTGTCATGCATCTGTAAGATATTGATTGAAACCTGAATCATGTCCCTAAATTCCTACTTTGGGAACATTTTGTCACATTGTACAAGATTTGTTTCAAAGTCTAGTAGAGAAATGGACCGGCGAAATTGTTGGCGGCTTGGATTGGAAGGGATGCGTCACTGACTCACTGTAGACATACGAATCACTCGAGTTGCAGAATGTTCCATTGGGATGCATAGTCTTACGATCTGCTCTTTGCAGCAGAGCTCCTTCGTGTATGCAAGAGATGCAGAAAAAGAGAGAAAAAAGGGAAAAGACTTATCAGCGTTTCTAGGGTGATTATATGTATAGGTGAGGGAAGATGTTTGTGTTTGGTTTCGGTGTTACATCAGGGAATGTAAGAAATACGGTTCTTCTGTCTCGTGTGATTCTCGTGATAAGATACGACAGATGGGATTTATGGATTGAGAAGTAGGATTAGGGATAATGATAGAAATAAGAGAATTGAGATATAACGATTTTAAATAAAAACTTGAAAAGAATGGCCGACGACTTGGATAGAGAGGAAGATAAGAGACGCTAGCCATTAGAGACGCTATCTCCATCATCACCTGAAGATCATTGACTCACCTGATAGTTGAAGGTGATTCCGGAGTGGTCGTTAAGCAGATCCGGCAAGGCATCATAGAAGACTCGATTGGTGGTCCGCGTCGTCAGATCCTTTGCTCTTTGTCCATTTGTATAGAGTTTAGGGCGGTAACTAGAACTGCCAACAGTGCTGCCCATAGAGTGGCGCGTAAAGCACCGCTTCTGTCTCGTCTAGAGCTAGAATCTTTCGATTTTTTTTGGGTGGTTTCATTAGAATTTATTGTAAGGTGTCCTGGGTAGATTTGTAACTCTTGTCCTCTATTGATATCACTCATAAATAAATAAATAAATAAATAAATAAATAAATAAATAAAGAGGAAGGTAAGAGATTTAACAGGATAGGGATATTATGGTTTGAGAGATAACTTTTCGCATTAATCTCTGCTTAGTCCCGACTAAATATCCCGAGTTCATATTTATAGGAAAAACAATGAACAAATTTGTGGGCATTGGTTAATTCCGACGGAATACTCCGAGTACATATTCATAGATAAAATAATGAACAAATTACATCAACAAGCTCCGATCTCTCCGTTTCTAGGGTGATTATATGTATAGGCGAGGGAAGATGTTTGTTTTGGTTTCGGTGTTACATCAGAGAATGTAAGAAATACGGTTCTTCGGTCTCATGTGATTCTCGTGATAAGATACGACAGATGAGATTTATGGATTGAGAAGTAGGATTAGGGATCATGGGAGAAATAAGAGAATTGAAATTTAACGATTTGAGATAAAATTTGAAAAGAATGGCGGACGACCTGGATAGAGAGGAAGATAAGAGATTTAAGAGGGTAGGGATATTGTGGTTTGAGAGATAATTTTTCTTATTAATCTCTGCTTAGTCCCGATTCCCGACTAATGAACAAATTTGCTTAGAGAGGAAAAACAATGAACAAATTTGTGGGCTTTGGTTAATTCCGACGGAATACTCCGAGTACATATTCATAGAAAAAATAATGAACAAATTACGTGGACCTCACATAATTTGGGCTCATCAAGTCTATGGTTCCTTAGGGATGACAACAAAACCTAAACCCACGGGTACCCTACCTGGTTAACGCGAGTAAAAGTCGTGTTGACGGGTTTTGAGCTGAGTTCGGGTTTAAACCCATTCACTATTCACTGGGTTGGGTTGGGTTTGAGTTTAGGTAAACCCGCCCCATGGATACCCGCCCACACCCATATAATTAACTTTCCTGGTATATTTAATATTCTAAACAACTAATCCTCTTTATATTTGTGGAGACATGTCTAATTTTTTCTTTCTAATTGTGTAGAATGAAGTTGATATTATCGAGTGGAGAGTGGAGACGTTTAATTGACAAGGAGAAAGAAGCTTTCAATTAATCATGTTGCTTATGGATAATTTGTGATTTGCTTCAATTTTCCCTAGTTTTCTTGATTGATGTAACAATTTGTATAGTTAATTTGTGATTTGCTTGAATTTTCTAGAATGGTGTTTTATATATGAATAATTTGTATTGAGAGATTGATATTTCACTTTAATTTTGATAGGAACTTGTTATTGTAAATTTCTTACGACAAAAAACCCGAGAGTACCCATGAACCCGCGGATACCCAGCGGGTTGGGTTTAGTTTGAGTTTTTCAAACCCAGTGGGTTTTACTCCGGTTTCTTTTCACGGATAAACTCATGGGTTTGGCAAAACCCGACCCATCGCCATCCCTAGTTTCTACAAATTTTACACCACCAAAATTTGTAAACAAACAATGAATTCTTGCCAAATCCATACTAGTCGAGATTTGCTACCCAAAGCCATCAAACAAACAACCCATAAGCTTCAACTTGATCCAACGATCGTTCATACTTTAGTTTAGTGCATCTCAACTAAAATATGGCAATAAAATCCGAATTTACTAGTATCCTACCCGTTCAAAATAGATAAAATCCACGTTGACGAATTATAGATCAGTTCGAATTGAAACTCGTTGCACTGTTCAGTGGATTGAATTTGAGGTTTCAGAACCCATCAAATATTTCTCCAATTTCCTTTTGTGGCTATTCAACTAAATTAGATTTGAATTTGGCACAACTCAACCTAACCCTTCCCTACCAAACTCAGAGGCGCAGAACTGGAATAAGTCTAGAGGAATCACCTTAGGTGCCGGGATTTCTTCAAAGGACAGTACGACAACTACAAAAGACTCGCACTTACCTGCTGACAATCAATCCTTTTCCAATGCTTTAACACGTAACCTCTACCTAACACTCACACTTCTACCTCTACCTCCTACCTCTCCTTTCTTCCTTTCGTTCCTACCCTCTGTGCTTTAACACGGAACCTCTGCGCTTTATTCCTACCCTAGGTAGTTTTATCACTATAAACTTATATGGCTTCCTAGTCGAGAACTCTTAGGCAAGGAGGGGCGTAGCCTCTTTCGAGATGCGATGAGTGCTATCTTAATATAAGAAAAAGGTAAAGCTACCGGTTGCAACAGTTACAGCTTTAGTGGCTGGTGTAGCAGCTGTGATGACATAGGTTTCCGGGGATAACGACTGGTTACATTTATTTGGAAGAGAGTCCCACTGCCGCAGGTTTTAAAAAAACTTTTGAAGAGGTTAGAAATAGCAAATCTACCAGAAAGGAGAGATGACAATCTCTAATCTTACCTTCTCCCCCAGGCACAACTTGTGGATTTCTCGTCTTCTACGGTAGCAAATTTGTTGGGCCTAAAACTGGAAGATGCCCAAATTACTTGGGTCAGTAATGAGGGTGGGCATAATGGCATAAGAGAGGACAAAGCAGGCCCGTCCCCTCTCAATCCGAATTCCGAACTGATTGGGTTGATCGCCATATAGTTGTGATTCCGATCCCTCGTGGGCCTTTGTACACCTTTTCTTCTCTTCTGAAAGTAACGCTGAACACGTCATCAATGTGTTCTCCATAGGGGTGGCGGACGGTTTTCCGGTTAGCGGCTAACCGGACGGTTTCAACCGAACCGTCCGGTTTTCGGCTAGCCGAAAAACCGATCCCAATGGCGTCGGTCGGTCGTCGGTAGCAAGGGGAGAAGGCTCGGCTAGCCGACCAACCGAGGTTGAAAACCGGCGGTTAGCCGACTAACCGAGCCTTTACCCAGCCTAACCTAAACGACCCGACCCCCTTCTCAAAACGACCCCCCCCCCCCCCCTCAAAACAACCCCCTCAAAACGACCCCCCCCAAACCCTAGACACCCGTGACCCCTCCCTTCTCTCCCGTCATCCTCTCTCTCTTCTCTTCCCTTTCACCTCTCAAAATGAAAACCCAGAAGAAGAAGAAAGAAGAAAGAAGATGACCACCGCCGCCCTCCTTCTCCCTCCGACTCACGACCACCGCCTCCCTCCCTCCGACTCACGACCACCGCCGCCCTCCTTCTCCACCATCGTCGACGTCACCCCGCCGTCTCCTCCGCCTCCAACCGTCACGACATGCAAGCAAGCAGGCAGCCTCCACCCGCCGCGCCGCCTGCCGTCTCCAACCGCCGCGGCGCGAACGCCATCTCCCTCCGCCGGCTTCGCGAGGTCGCTCCTCCCTCTCCCGTCGGCGGCAAGCCCTCCTTCTCGGCTGCTTCTTGAGTGGAAAAAGAAAGGAGATAGAAAGATGGAGGAGAGAGTCAGAGGAGAGAATCAGGAGGGTTTGAATGGAAAAAGTTGAAGGAGAGAGAAGGATTGAGGAGATAAAGAATGAGTGGTGGGAGGATTTTTGGATTTTTTTAATTTTTTTTTAATTTTTTTTTTTAGATTAGGGTGTGGTTTTCGGGCTTGGGGCTAACCGAACCAAAATCGGCCAACCGACCGGTCGGTGGTCGGCTAACTGCTGTATCTCCCACGGTCGGTGGTCGGTAGCCGGGGGTGGTCGCTCGGTTTAACCGATAACCGAGAATTCGGTTATCGGTTAAACCGAAACCGACCGGTTGACAGCCCTAGTTCTCCTTGCAAGCTTCTGAGCAAGAGACTGAACTATAGGGATGACAAATTGGGTCTCAATGTTTGGATATTATTCAAACTCTGGCTCAAATCAAGTTTAGATTAAAAAAAAAATTCGGCATACAGTCATACCAATTTTATAGTTTGAGTATAAATTGGACTCATAATATTCAAAACTCAAAAGAAAATGGGTACCCAATTATAATGCAATTATTTTCTTATTTTTTATCATGAAAATAATTGAAAGATGGAAATTACCTACATTAAATGTGTATAATTGGGTTGAAAGTAGTTAATGAATAGTTGATATTGTTTTTTTTCTTTTTTTTTTATATAATCATCTAGATCTAATCAGACCCATTAGGGTACAATCGAAATTAATTAACCATAATAGAACCCAATTCAAACCCAACCCATACCCAAAATCATTAAAAATGCATATTGGTAAAAATTTAGGTCCAACCCAATACCAATATGGGACATGACATTTGGGTCAAATCATCCAAATGGGTCACTGAAAGATATAAATTAGATTATTGAATTATAACGAGCATATTCTTTTTACGAAAATAATTTATGTATATGGGCCAATTCCGTTCTTAATTTCTTCTGCTTTGCAATAAAAAGAAAAAATTATCAACCTTGTAAACCCGTCATTCAAGGGTGGCCAAAGGATGAGAGTGGCAAAGTCGATACTTGCTCCTCCATTGTAATAAGCAACACCCTTCTCCAAAAATGGCAAAGAGAAAAGGCGAAGCCATTACACGACATCCCCCCGGCGCTGATAATGATCATCCTCGCCGTCTTCTTGTCGGTAATTACCTCGTCGTCGTCCTGGTACGAGGCCGCCGCCGCCGCCGATCCACAGGTGCCTTGTTTCTTCATCTTCGGTGACTCCCTCAACGACTGCGGCAACAACAACGACGCCGACACCAAGGCGAAAGCGAATTACAAACCCTACGGGATCGACTACCCCGATGGCCCCACCGGCCGGTTCACCAACGGCCGCACCGCCGTCGATTTCCTCGGTTTCTTCTCTCTCTCTCTCGACTTATAGATATATCAAATTGCTTTGCTTTTTGGTGTGTTTTAAATTTGTGGGGTTTCTTTTCCTTTTGTGTTGTTGCAGCCGAGCATCTGGGGTTTGGTAATCCGATTCCACCGTTCACAACCGCCAAAGGTGATAGCATACTCCAAGGGATAAATTACGCGTCGGGCTCCGCCGGGATCCTCGACGAAACCGGCAAGCATCTGGTAATTAATAACACATATTATCGATCATGCTTCTCAATAGATTGATTGTTTTTTTTTTCAATTTAATTGCGAGAAAAGTTAATAAATGGAATATAATCCACAATTGAACATTTATAACAATTCGAGTTATATGTGATCATGACATGAAATCAGAGATTTATAAGACCGAAAGGTCTTCCGCTCGAACGTATCCATATTGGTCAAGCATTTGTTATTCAAACTTTGTGAAAACTTCAATATAATAATTATATGAGTAGACTTTCGCTTGCGAGAGTAGGTTAATGAGTGGTATGCGATCCATGACGTGATCTCTTCTACTAACTTGACTTATTGCTATCAGTTGGTTGTTGACAGGGTATCGAAGCTTTCTGTAATCGAGAGATTCTATGTTTCCTGATGATCCCCTTTTTTGTTAGCCACATCATATTCAGACATGTGCAAATTATGAACTCATATAAATCGGCTTTCTTTTGAAGATTTGTGTTAATAAACTTGGTTTATGATTTCATAATTGAATCCTCCAAACAAATCGAGTTATTGATATCAATCAGAACCCGGATTCCCAGTGACCCCATTTTGTTAAACATATGGTGTTTGGATGTGTGTAAAGTTCAACCAATATGAGTTTGATTAATCTCCAAACCACTCGATTTATTGAGATCAATGACAAGTTAGCATTGATGCAGGGAAAGAACGTGCCATTGGGAACACAGGTCCAGAACCACCAGAAAACATTCTCCAAGATCGCGGCCATGAAGGGCGGCAAAGACTCGGCAACAAAACACCTCAACGGTTGCATATACTACATGTCGATCGGTAGCAACGACTTCCTCAACAACTACTTCCTTCCCAAGCAATACAAGACCAGCAAGGAGTACTCCGTCGATAAGTTCACCGCTCATCTCGCCTCCACCTACCGTGACAAAATCAAGGTACGTACGTACGTAATTCATTTTCGGGTTATTGGGATACATTTCCAACAATTCGAATTATTGGGACCAACTGGGTTTTTGACGCATGCATGCAGACTCTGCACGGCTACGGGGCGAGGAAGATAGCCGTGGTTGGGGTCGGCAAGGTCGGGTGCGTCCCCCACATGATGGATATGTTCGGCACCAAGGGCTCCAAGTGCATTCAGAACGTGAACTCGGCGGCGCAGAACTTCAACAAGCAGCTCAAGAAGCTCGTCGTCGATCTCAACAAGGAGCTCAAAGACGCCAAGTTGATCTACATCAACTCTTACGGGATGAGCGATGGGGATCCCACGATTCTAGGTAACATATATATACCTTCATCCATCAACTACTTTACATCACATGCAGTGGCGTAGCCAGAAATTCATTTAAAGTAGTTCGGATATGGGAATATATATATATATATATATATATATATATATATATATGGTGACTACTTCGGTGCACTCACAAAAATGAGTGCGTTCAATGCACCCAACTCAAAAAATAGTCTTAAAGTGTCGAATTTTGAATTTTAATTTGTAGAATTAGTGTAATATGATGATATAACATATGATAACAACTAATTAGCTGATTACCCTAAGCCCTAGACCTCCAATTTTGTTTTCTATCCCTAAACCCTAAATCATAATCCCTAACCCTAACCCTAAATCTCTAAACCATAAATCCTTCAAATTAACGTAAATCTTTAATGGTTTTTGTGAAAATTCATGTGCTTTATTGTTCATCACATCATAAGTGATGATTGACATCATTTTGACATAAATCGCATGTTTAAAATGACGGTTATGAAGTGAGTGCACTGAATGCACCCAAAAAAGTGAGTGCACCGAAGACGCCACCATATATATAAGTTTCATTATGTGTTCATGTTCTTAAAATTTTCTAAAATATATTCATCGTGAAAATTATGAGGGATGTTTAGATACCAAATCGAAAAAACCGTTCATAATTCCACAAACTCATCTAATTTTGAAGTGCTTTTTTTTTACTTTGGTTATTGCAGTAAGTAAGTGCTTTTTCAACACTTACAATGGCAACCGATAACAACAAACACCCCTGAGTTTTGAGTTACTGTATATATTAAACTCATTTAAATTAAAATATTATATAGAGATCACAAAACATTAATTTTTGTGAACTATCTACAATAATATGGAGATCTTATATTCAATCGATAATCACATAAAGAAATTTACTCTACATTTTTTTAGCCAAGGTGGTGCAAATGACCCACCTTGGCACAAAGTGGCTCCGCCATTCATCACATGCATGTGATTCTAGATTTATTGTAACGGATTGGAAAATCGACAATGCAAAAAAGTACGTTGTTCACTAACACCATGCGTGTTAGCTAATTCATGGGCACGGGAGATCAGTTTCAGTGTTTCGTTATATACATAGATTGAGAAAGTATGTATATAACACCTTCTCCAAACGTCCTAACCCTAATCGAACCTGAAAAAGGGGGGAAATGTTGCAGACCAGATTCGAAACAATCGACGATAGATAATTTGTTTTCAAATCGTATAGCAGCATGGATCGATATGAAGCCACGATGATAAAGTTTTTTTTTTTTTTTTCCTTTGGTTTCTGTTTCGATCTGTGTAGGTTTCAAGTACATAACCAGTGGATGCTGCAAATCGAGAGAAGATGGGCAATGTGTGGAAGGCGAAACTCCTTGTTCGAACAGAAGGGAGTATGTGTTTTGGGATTCGTTTCATCCGACGGAAACCGGCCACAAAGCCGTCGCAGACCGAACTTACAAATCCTTGCTGCCTTCTGATAGCGACCCGTTCGATCTCCACAGCCTGGCCGCTCTCGATATAGGCAAGCAGTAACGACAGAAGATCTAGAACGTACATTTAGATGTTAACTATCTGCATGCAGTGTTCTTAGTTTTTTCTTGTCGAAACACGATTGAAGTGCATATATGATTTTATGATAATCATTATGGCATTTGATCCACTAACCGATTCACAAGTTTTTTTGTAAAATAAACAATTTGATCATATTCCTATTGAAAATTTATTTATTAGGTCTGTGATTTTGTTAGTGTAACACATCAAAGAAAAGGATATAGAGTTTTTATCTGTAATAATAAGAGAGAGATCTAGATGCATGTTTTAAGAGGAGTTTTGGGTTTAGGGCAAAAGTCTTGTTAATAATTTAATGTTAAGAAAAATATATTGCAGGTGTTAAAAGTGGGAGACTTGCTGAGGAGACTAGTGAAAGAGGACTCGAGCTATAATGTAGAGCTTTTTTATGGTGACTTTTGTACTTTCTTTCCTAATAATAAGGAAGATTTTGGATTTATGGGGTTTGGAAAGGTTAGTGAAGCAAATTGACATCGATTTATTTCTAAGAAATAAGTTTGTTACACATCTTTTATTAACTAATTAGAGTTACATGGTCACAAATGGGACCCCGATGCCATTCTCGAACCTAGTACCAGTCGTACCTGAATTCATATTAGACTAGACTCTTCTTTCTTTGAGCTGCTCCCATGCACGCTGATCGGAAGAGAAGATTTTAGTTGTCCTATATGAAAATAGCATAAACAGAGCCAAGCCTTCTCTAAAAGAAGCAAGTGCAAGTTACAAGAAACGCGACAGATCCAAAATATAATAAAACACTGGGTCAAATTTGAAAAGAGGCGGAGAGTGTTGGTTGTGACCTGACTAGCACTGAACTGAATACCTAAAGTCAAAAAATTTATAAGTGCTATACTATCTCTGGACCCAAAGCATGGCTCGGCTGTGACATAAATGGGCCTCCCCTCGATCCATCACTGCCAGAAAAACTACTACTAGCTAATGTCAGAGGATCTTTGCTTGATCCGAATTCTGCCTTGATGTGTGCCTCCTCCTTTTTCAAAACGAAATTCGATATTAACTATGTTGGCCACTCACACAAAAATGTGTTGGATACAATGCATAACCTTCCAATTACCATTTATGGGATGTCTCTAACTTTTCCTTCAATTGATTTTGATGGACAATTTCTCTTTCTTTTTATGTTCGTTTTTTTTTTCCATAGAAAATCTAATTTATTGTCTTCAAAATAACATCTACTTTGACATACTTTGTGGTACATAAGATTATCCTACGTATTATTATGAAAGTGTATCATAGTGATATGAAGATAGTAGAGTGTAGAAATGATTGTCCACGGTATAGTCGGAATATACTAACCATCATTTACCATCTTTCATCAATGTATATGACCCAGTTACCACATAATACCTGGGTGGTATATTTGGTTTTGAAATATTTTCTCCCAGAAATTTGTGAATCCATAGATCATGAAGTACTAGTTTCTTGTAGGCAAAATTTTTCAAAATTCGAGTTAACTAAAAACGTAGGTGGTACCAAGTGATACCAGATGGCTATGACGAACCCGGTAATTTTATATAGGGGTGTCCTCTTTTAAAAAAATAAATAAAATAAAAATAACAATTAAATAATTCTTAACTAAGAAAGTATCTGACTTGTACAAGTTAAAAAAAAGTCCACGGTGTGTTTTCATATTCGGAAATAATTATAGAATACACTTGGTGTCTACACTGCTAAAAAAATGTCTCTTCATATCCTACTAGACAATCATTCATGAACTAATATCATATTCGATTTCTAAACTTGTTCTTTATGTAACCCAAAACTGAAAAGACTATTTCAGCACTTTTCGTGCAACCATAAAATCAATAGAAATTAAGTGTAGCTTGAAATTAGTTTAATTGTTAAGTTTTGAAAATAATTAGAGATAGAGAATGACATTTTACTATTACACAGTGTTTACAATCGAACAACAAATGAGTTGTAGCATAATGGAAATTATGTTCATTAATAATACTAGTGTCTTAGATATGAATTATCCAAATTGCCACTTATATTCCATACGCAAACAAAAAATGATAGAGTAGGATAATTATTTTTTCAAATTTCAGGGGTGTCCCCAACTATCAATTATAATTTTTTTGTCGATACGTATATTACTATCGGGAGTTGGATAATCGTTTTCACAAATTTTAGAGATGTCCCGGGACACCCCCAAAGACCCCTGGATCCGCCCCTGCCAGATGATACCAGGGTGGAAATGACTAACGAGTGGTATGGGTGGTATGAAAATTCTTTTCTCGAAATAGCTTGCAAATGAATATAATTTTGTAGATCAGAAAGAACCCATTTTATCTACGCAAATTTTTTACATCCAAGTTAAAATAAAAACAATAAAAGTCGATTAAAAAACAATAAGTACTTTAATCTCACTCCTTAAATATGACCCCACTTCAAAAAATAGATAGAGAATGACATTTTACTATTACACAGTGTTTACAATCGAACAACAAATGAGTTGTAGCCTAATGGAAATTATGTTCATTAATAATACTAGAATCTTAGATATGAATTATCCAAATTACCACTTATATTCCATACGCAAACAAAAAAATGATAGAGTAGGATAATTATTTTTTCAAATTTCAGGGGTGTCCCCAACTATCAATTATAATTTTTTTGTCGATACGTATATTACTATTGGGAGTTGGATAATCGTTTTCACAAATTTTAGAGATGTCCTGGGACATCCCCAAAGACCCCTGGATCCGCCCCTGCCAGATGATACCAGGGTGGAAATGACTAACGAGTGGTATGAAAATTCTTTTCCCGAAATAGCTTGCAAATGAATATAATTTTGTAGATCAAAAAGAACCCGTTTCATCTATGCAAATTTTTGACATCCAAGTTAAAATAAAAACAATAAAAGTCGATTAAAAAACAATAAGTACTTTAATCTCACTCCTTAAATCTGACCCCACTTCAAAAAATCAAGGATAAAAATGTAATGCACCCTATCTTGCACTAGATTCACCAGCTAACTAGTATAAAATTTAGTTAGAAAATTGGTCACTTATAAAGTTACAATAAAATCTATCAACTTTTTTTTTTTTGAGAGAATAAAATCTATCAACGTTGACATTTTACACCACCAGCTTTCAATTAATACAAGCATTCCCACATTCAATAATAAAAAAAAGCTTCAATTCCTATCTAATATAATTATTAACTAAATTAGTAATGTAAACAAAATTTAAACGATGAATCGATTGGGCAATCTCCATTCTACGACGTGCGAGCTATATATAACCTAGCATTGCCCATTGCCATATTTTTTTCTCTACCACCCCACAACACACTTTCTTAACGTTCTCTTCCGCCTTCATCCAATACATTATTTATCGTAATATTGTTTCTTTCTTCTAGTGTCCGGCAATGGGAAGTCGCCGGAGTTCTCTCCACTCACGCCCGCCTCCAACACTTTTCATGCTCATCGCCGTCGTCGTCGTTGCACTGATAGCCGCAGCCGCCGACGGGTTTGCGCCGCGCGTGCCTTGCTACTTCATATTCGGGGACTCCCTCTTCGACAACGGCAACAACAACAACCTCAGCACGGTGACGAAGGTCAATTACTCCCCTTACGGCGTCGATTTCCCCGCCGGACCCACCGGGAGGTTCTCCAACGGCCGAACCACCGCCGATTTAATTGGTGCATGCGCTTAATTAATTAGTTAATTACTTCAAACATAATTAATTATCATAATTATTAATAACTAATTGTTTTTTTTTTTTTGGGGTATGAAGGTGAAATGCTGGGATTCAGAAAATTCATCCCGCCGTTTGCATCGAACCCCGACGAGAGACAGATACTCGTCGGGGTGAACTACGCATCGGGGTCCGCCGGAATTCTATTCGAGAGTGGAAAACTGGGGGTAATTAATTATTATTATTATTAGTTAATTTCCTCTTTTTATTACTGTTCTTTTTTAGTTACTCTTAATCAAGAAAATAGTTAGCTTATAATTAGCTAAGTAAATCATCCACAAGCTTAGTACATGCTGAAAATTTCTCTTTGTCGACTCAATCCAACTCTCTTCACCTTTTTTGCTCTCTGGTTAATTTTCTAATTTCTATATATGACTCATACAAACAATTCCAAGCCGGAGAACGCTGGTAGTAAACTCATTATTTGGCTTGTTTTTCAGCTATTTTGAGGCCATTTTCCCCCCTCTAATTAATCATAGTGGATTATTATGCAAAATGTCATCAATTAACCCAAATACAAATTTTGGCCCTGAAAAAACCAATTAAAATACAGAGCTGTGATAAGCGGACAAGAGATTAGTGTAGTGGTATTATCACTGATCTTGAATGATCTGGAAGTTATAAATTTGAATATTATAAGTAATAGCTAATTGTAGAAAAACAAACCTATATATCATTATCTAAATAAATAAAAAAAGACAGAGTTGTGATAATGAGCACAACACGTCATCATATGTGATGGGGGTGAGAAATGGTTCAATCCAGTTGAACCGGATCAATATCTTTCATCTAGACCAACTCCCGCACCGTCATGTATGGGTTGGGCTCGTCTGGAAATTGGGTTGGATTGGGTTGGGTTGGGACCTCGGTAATCATATCCAGTTTCTCGGTGTAAAACCGGATCGGATCAGGTGGGTGTTATTGTAACTATAGCAACTGAAAACCAAATGGAACGGGTTATACGGTTCGGTTTTTTATTAAACCGAAAAACATAAACCGATTCCCAACCCTAAATTGTATGATGGTACAATTGTTAATTTTTTTATCCTTTTTGTAGGGTGACAACATAGACCTGGACCAGCAATTGAAGAATCACGAAGTGACGGTATCACGTATAGCCCAGATATTGGGGAGCAAGCAGGCTGCCGGCGAGCACCTAGGGCAATGCTTGTACATATGTAATATGGGCAACAACGATTACCTCAACAACTATATTCTGCCCCAATCTACCGAAATCAGGAATCGGTATAACCCTGACCAATTCGCCGCGCACCTCATCACGCAATACTCCGCTCAGATTAACGTAAGTCTTGTTATATAATCAAATTGCTTTTGACTAAGAGGTCTCGTGTTGTGGAGACTCCCAAATATAATTGTTACTTTTGAGCATATGATATGGTTGTTCTGTGCTAGCTAGTTTCAAACTCCGTAGGTTGACTTTCGTTTTAGGAGAGAATATAGAGTTCAAATATTCATTAGTAGTAGTGTAGCTTATAATTTTTATAACAAACTAGAAACTAGTTATTAAAAAGTGGCTTTAATACTTGTATAATATACTATAATTATACTTAAATACGTTTACTTTTATCGGATGTCCCCGTTTAATTTTATCGGATGTCCCCGAAGGGACAGATACGTTTAAAAGCCCCTGTTCCCGTACTATTGTAGAGTATTCTCGATTCTCCCCATCTGTTTCATTTTTTTCCACCATGTATACCTAACGTATCATAAGCAATTGAATTATTAATCTAGTAAACTTTACATTTATAATTCAATGAATTATTTTTCTTTCTTCATTATACATTATTTTTTATTTTATAATTAATTCCAAAATTACAAACATATAGCGGATGTACAAGTTGGGAGCAAGGAAGGTGGCGTTGGCCGGAGTTTCGAACATCGGCTGCACCCCTCGTTTGATTGCAGCCGTGGGGACTGATGACGGCGCCACCTGTGTCGAATCGGCAAACCAAGTAGTGGCTCCGTTCAACACCCGCCTCAGATCGCTCGTCAGCCAGCTCAACTCGGTTTATCATGACGCCAAATTCGCCTACCTGGATAGCGTATTGGTCGGCACTCTTGCTCTTAAAGGTAATTGTTGTTAATGAGTTAGAAGTCGCGGATTATATGTCAAAAATATTAAACGTCATTGCATAGTCTCGTTTGCAATCCGTGAAACAGATCTGTCTGCCTTGTTCGTGGATTAGCTGAGACACGTCGCGTGTTAGTAAACCACGTGTTTTCTTTTTCTGTTTCGCGCAGAGTTTAGGATAACAAGAAAGACGTGTTGCCAAGTGAGTACGGTGACCGGGCTATGCCTTCCGAACACGAGACCCTGCACTTTCCGGCGATCACACTTGTTCTGGGACGCCTACCACCCGACCGATTTCGCGAACCGACTCGGTGCTCCGATTTACTATCCGGCCATCCAACGGATCCTGTGAACACAAGAGAAGAAAAGGGAAGGGGTTTGTTGTTATACTAGAAGAGATTGTGAGCAAAATGCGTATTTAAATTAGGCAATAATTAAGTGGATGCATTATGGTGTTGGCGAAATCCACGTTGCATTGCAATTTTCTTTTTTCAATTCTTGTAGCACAAGAAATTATTGTATCATGTCTTGAAACAATCAAAATGCACCTTTGGAAAAAGAAAAAAAAAGAGGGAGACCTTTAATTTTGTTGGTCCGATTATTTATAGATTATATTGATTTAATTTTGTTGAATTGGTTGCGAAACGGTCAACTTATTAACTGATTAATATAAGCTATACACGATTAGCAATGAACAAAAAATTACTTAAAAGTTAACCGATAACATAATAAACAGTTATGGTTATACATGAACCAAACCAACTACGATTTCAGCTTCTCTCTGTATCGTATATCATGGAAAGATACTCACACTAGATCAATTATTGAACCTTCAAGGTTGGTACTTCCCAAACCAGTACTGTTATATGTGCTTTGTGATAGAAGAATCGACAGATCACCTCCTCCTTTTTTTTTTTTTTTTTTTTAAGTTTGGATTTCATTAAAAGCAAATGGGCCAAGCCCAGAGGAAAAGCCTACAAGCATTAGGTAGCAAAGGTTAAAAAAGACAAAATCAACAAGCCCACCCAAAAATCCAGCACCCAATAGGGCCCAGACAAGGAGCCCAAACATTGCTTCAGCCAACCAAACCCTAGCCGCCTAGATGCCCCATCTGATGCCTCTGCTGCCGCTGGAGAACTACCCAGAACCGTCACTCACACCAACCAAGATATGAGGGTCCAACCAACTCGAAAAGAGGGGAGTGGAAGGAGACACCTCCGACCAGAACCTCTCCAAGCCAATCGTCATATGCATCTCGGCGACCACCACACAAGAGGAAGCTTCAGAATAATCGGTCGGTCGACGATGGAACCAGAGGGGAGAGTCTTCTGTCTTCAAAGCTCTCCAACCGAGTCCAAGCCAAGGGCTACATCTCCGAAACACCAAGATCTGCAAGGTGAAGCAAGGAGGTAGACAAGGGGAAGGAAGAGGAGAAAACAAGCCAAATCTTGGAAAGATCCAACATCCTTTGCATCTTAGAAACGATTCATCTCCAGATCTGAACAAACAGACTAGAGGCCAAAAGATCAACCCACTGAAGGGGAAGGAAGAAACTCACAAGGAGGAAGGACCAATCATACAAGGAAAAACAAGCCAATCGATGACAAGATCTGACAGAAAAAGGAAAAGGGAATTAAACTATGAAAGGAAGCGAAACAAGAGAGTAGAGGAGATGAAAAAGGAAAGGAGAGGAAAATCGCAAGAAAGAAGAGGCTGAGGGCTGCCGTCGGTCGCCGGAGGAACGCCGACAGTAGCCCCCATGGAGGCCTGAATGTTTTAGTTCTAGTGAGAGGACAAAGCAAAAAAGAAGAGGGAGAAAGGACTGTCGCCTTCTCCATTGCAACTAATGTTTATTTGGACCCATACCCTGCACATGCCGTGAGCTTCTCCAACAACGGAGGTATCTTAGCAAATCTTGGAGATTTCCTAAAGCGTTAAGCCAACTTCCTCATGCTATCTTCTGGCATATATGGACTGAAAGAAACTAATGAATCTTTGAGGACAATCACACTTTCTGTCTCTCTCTAAACTTACTTTTCTCCGTCCTCTCTCTTGTTTTTTAGACCTTCCCGTTCTAGCCTTCTTCAGGGATGTCGTCGGCTTCCCATCTGCTGCCGGCGGTAGCCCCTCGTTCCCCTTTTTTCGTTTTCTTGCTTGTTCTTTTCTTTGCTCTGGTGGTTTGGTTTCCATTTCAATTTTCATTCTCTCCAAACAGTCTGTTTTTATAGATGTCTTCACTGTTCTCTGATCTGACACGTCAGATCTAGAGTTCCTTCTTTCGAGGTTGCAAAGGGAGGCTGATTTTGGCTCCAAGATCGGCTCCTTCTCGTGTCTTCGTCTCCCGTCTACCTCCTTGCTTCACCAAACATATTTCGGTGATTCGGAGATGCATAGGCCCTCCTCAGTGAATCGGCTTGGACGCGATGGGGGATTAGAAGATAGAGATTGATCCATGGTTTGTTCACCGGCGGTTGCCCTTTTGTTCTGAAGTTTCGGCTCGTGCTTGGGATTCTGGCGAGCTACTGAAGACACTAGGCCCAGTGAGGTTTGTCGAGATGAGTTATGTGTCCCTTTTGCTTGTCTCCTCCGATCTTCCATCTGGATTGAGACTTTCCTCTGTTCGACTTCCATGATGATGGCGTTTAGTGGTCGGATTTTCGGAAGGTTTCAGCAGCGGCGGCAACACCATGGGATTCATGCGGCTAGGGTTTGAGGGAGGCTTTGTTTTGGGCTCTGTTTGTGTTTGTGGTTGTGTGCTCAGTTTTGTCTTGAGCTGGGTGTACTGCTTTGGGCACATTTTTGGGCTTAATGAGCTTTTCTTTTTCGTGCTAATTGTATGTGGTCTTTCCATTGGGCTTACCCCCACTTTGTACACTCTCTTAGTTTGTAATGAAACTGATCCTTGTCAAAAAAAAAAAAAAACTATGGGACTCGCCCACAAAAAAAAAAAAAATTCAATGCAGTTATTTGTGCTTGGGCAAGTTTGAAAATTATCTCCGGTCAAGATTCGACATCTCTCTTGTGCTTAGTTTAAGAAAATACGAGGACTTGGACATATCAACCACCGTGATCACTAGGGCTGGCAATTTGGTCCAGGACTGTTTGGTTTTACCCGAAACCGAACCGTATAACCCGGACCGGGACCGGACTGAGACCAGATAGCAAACAATCCAATCTCATATTCTGGCTTAGATTTGTAGTAAAAAAACCCGGATAAGAGACCCCAACACTCAAATCCCCACAAGCTCAATCTAAAATCAAAATCAAATTGGGACCGGACCGGGTCAAGATCGGACCGGATCAAGATCGAAGTGTATCCAATCCAATCTTTGGTCATTATATTCCCGAAAAGACCGGACTAGAACCGGATCAATTTGGTCCAATTTAACCGGACCGGACCGTATAGTCACCCCTAGTGATCCCGGTTCACTGCATTGCCAATCATTTACTATTTTGTTTCCACTTCCGCTCCACCTTAATTATGTCCTTTTTTATTTTCCTTTCTCTCCGTTGTACTCGGAGTTAGTCTGCCACTTATGAACCCCTCCACTCTTTTGGTGAATAAAATCGAGCAACACATTTTTAAAAAATAACCTTTACGAATACTTAAGGCCTTTTATATATATATATATATATATATATATATATATAAAAGTACCCACTTCCTTTCTCTAATTTTCTACCACCCAACATTCATTAGTGTTCATTATCCTTCCAATAATAATATAAAAAAAGTTCCGCCATGGGAAGTCGATTAAATTTGCACCCATCTTGTTGCTTATCATCATTTCTATCCATCATTAGCACTCTCCTCGCCGGCGCCGCTGGATCCTCCCGGCCGCCGAAAGTGCCTTGCTATTTCATATTCGGGGACTCCCTATTCGACGGCGGCAACAACAACCATCTCAACACGCCGATGAAGGTCGATTACTCTCCCTACGGCGTCGACTTCCCTTCCGGCGTCGCGACGGGAAGGTACTCCAATGGACGGAACACGGCCGACATAGTTGGTGATTATTCATTACATTAATTACATCGATTACTTGTCACCCTTTCTTTTTTTTTTTTTTGCAATTAGAAATTTCGTCCATCATTGATTAATTAATTAACAAGGGTTCTAATAATTAGTTGCACACTACAGGCGAGCTGCTGGGATTCAAGAGCTTCATCCCGCCATTTGCTACATCGACGCCTCCTAACGACTCTGAGATACTCGTCGGGGTGAATTATGCCTCTGGGACCGCCGGAATTCTTGTCGAAACTGGGAAATACATGGTACAGTTTTTTTAAATTAATTAGGTTTTTGCACCATTGAGCTAGATTGTTCTTCAATGCTTTAATTAATTTTTTTTCTTCCCCTTCTCGATCGGACTTGGTCTCATTAACGTTAGCACCGTTCTCGCTGCGACCTACTGAATTAGTGGGTTTACCCTGAGATATTCAATCTGAATCGTGTGATTTTCTTTTTCTCATGTTAAATTGATGTATAATCCAGATTTTCCCCTCATTAGGCATGGAATTTTTAATATATTTACAGCGGGTACGTAGGAGGGGTTGGGATTCGGGACAATTTGGTTAAATCGAAATGGATTAACCGATTTTTGGGGTTTTGACGAAAGGCGCGAAGTGAGAAAACCAGATTGTTTAATTGGTATCCGATCAAATAGTTTTGGTTTGATTCGATTTAAACCAATATTTCGAAATGACTTGGTTTCGGTTTCGATTGGGGGGGTTCAGGGATTTCGATATTCAGTTTTGGAGAAACAATCATAGTTTGGTTTTGAGTTATTTTATAATGGTTTTGATTCGGTTAACCGTATCGAATCGAACTGATATCCCTACTACCAACATAGTTGGAATCATCAAACTATAAGATTCCCGTTGACAATGGTTTTTGCAGGGTGAGAACATAGACATGAGCCAGCAAGTGAAGAATCATGAAGAGACGGTGTCACGTATAGCACAGAAATTGGGGAGCAAGAAGGCTGCCGACGACCACCTAGGGCAATGCTTGTACTTGAGCAATATGGGCAACAACGATTACATCGCTAATTACCTCGAAACCCAATTCTCCAACTTCAGCAAACGGTACAACCCTGACCAGTTCGCCGCACTTCTCGTCGAACAATACTCTCACCAGCTCGTGGTAAGTCCCGGCCCAGCTCGTGGTTTGATGTAGATCGCTTCTGTCTTCGATGAACTACAACCCAATCATCATGCAAACCTGCTCCCATTTTGTGTTATCCACTCAAGAGATAGATAAATAGACACAAGATAGATAAATAGACACATGGATCGGGACACTGGAACGAACTATGCCAAATTCTAGTACTTTGGTAAAAAAAAATTAGTAAATGTGGTATTATCAATTCGTTATATAATAGAGGTCGTTTGCTTGTAGAATTTTGATGAGAGCTTTTTGTCCCAAAATCTCATGTGTGTTGGATTATTGTCTAAATCCATGTTTGTTGATAAAAATGTGGTTGACATAAATTCGTGGGGCCCATAAATATGGGATTTTTGTTTT